CACTACGCATTCCTCTTTTATTACATCTGACGGACCAAGTGGGAGACTCTATAATGGAAGTGTTGTCTTAACTGAATTGTCTTAATGTTCGTCTTCTATTTAGCTCAGTCGGATCCTTGTGATTTTCTTGTTGCTCAAAATACTTCACCTTTTGTAACCATAACAACTGTTAGAATAACACTTGGCGGGGATTCATTTTATTAACGATTTTTCATTTAAGGGAACATAGTGAGGCTAAGAGTGAGGTTGGGTGTACCATTAACCGGTGTAAACTCCCCAGCAGTGCTTATGTTGCTGACCGTTCCAAGGCGGCATCCTCTGTCTTTCTCATATGTATGTCTTTGCTGTTTCATACTGTTTTGTTAAACTTTTATTTGTGTCCCTTGTTGTTTACTCAAAGGTATCCTCCTTTTTGCCACTTGTTTTATTTTTTAATCTTTTGCCTCTCCCTTTCCCGAAATTCGAGTCCCCTTCCCCTGTGCCCTTTTATTTTGTGGACCTATAATCTATCAATTTTTTTTCTTTTCTATAACCTCTTTGTCGATTACTATTATTTCCTTTTTAAGCATCAAGTATCATTTATGTGATTATCCTGTCCGTGCTCTGTCTTGCGCCCCGTCCTAATTTGTTTGAGGTCCTCCAGGGCTCCTTGCCGCTGGTTCTTGTTGCTAGGTCGTTTAAAGGTTGCGTTCATTTCCTTGTTGATCTTGTTGATCACATTTTGGGGAATATTTCTTCATTCCTTAATAAGGGATTCCTCGAGTTCCAGCAACTCCTGCATCCCATGTCACTAGACCTAAACATCACACTTAACGTCTGAATTGAACAGGCATGAGAAAGCGATCAGAAGCCCCTCGCAATTTGCTGAAACTTGAGCAAGCCCTTGTTTAGGAATAGAAAACTGTGAGACAGCGGTGTTTACTTTGCTATAATGAATTGAGGGGGCATACAAAGTAACATACATATTTAGTGGGATTCATTTTGTTACGATTTAACAGTCATTCTTTACAATAGCCTATTTGTTTTCCTATTTTTTCTATTTTCTTATCGATGAATTGTAAATATAATTCTAAGAAGTAAGTATGATTTGTTGAATTTTGTAAAGTTCAAATTTGAACAAAATTCGTTCTCAAATCTATTTATACAGAAATATGTAAGTGTCGAAATAAAAGTGCCTCTGAATGTACAAACATGGACAAAACGAAAACAACATCACCAATTTCGGCTACATACAATGTGGAAAAAACATGCATTGGAAAACGTCCATCTGTATAAAGAAGGCAATGTATGCCATTTTCTCTACAACCTATGCTTCAGTCATATAGGTTACTGTTCCCTGAAGGCAAATCTGTTAATGAAAATTTTTACAAGACAAAATTTCTCCGAGAAAATTAAAAAGATACTTTAGAAAACGAAGACCCCCAATAGGATTGGCCAATATCAAATTGATGCATGGCAACACATCAATGCAAAAGGCGTCTATAGTCCTAGACTTTCTGAAGCAGGAAAATGTCTCCCATCCTCCGTATTCAGTGCCCCTTGCGGCTCCTTTTTGTTTTCAAAGCTAAATTTAATGTAAATACCATTCACGTGAAAAATTTGTTCATCGCAAAGAACACGGTTCTGCAATAATACAGTGTCTTCTTAGTAGTATACCATAAAGACTATGAAAATGCCTTCAAAGGGTGGATGGGGAGACAAAAACTTTGTATATCTGTTGTAGGTCAATATTTTGAAGGAACAATTTTTTATTTTTTTTAAATCAGCAAAACCTATGTAGAATCAAATATTATGTGCTTAGATGCCTTGATACGAGTATATGAAAAAACTTATCGTATTGTATAGACAAATGTGTGTAATAATGTATAAGAATAGAATTTGTTGAGTTATCACAATTATTTTATATTTTTTAATCATAGTATAGCCAATTTAATTTTAGTTATTCAAAATTATTTCCATTTTTCATAAATATTGATAATTGAGAGTCTACAGTCATTTCAGTGCATACAAGTTATAATCTACTGTTTCGATAATGTTACTATTCAAACGCATTTATTTATGGCTTTTTGTTTCGTTTTAGTTACATCGGACGATTTAATTATTATCATAGTATAAACAGATATTCGTATCTCATCACGTCTCATAATTTTATCAGTCCTAGAAATCTTGCCCATCTTGAAAATGTTATCAATACTGGAAATCTTATATATCCTGATATTTTTATCAATTCAGGAAATCTTATAAATCCTGGTTATGCTCACAATTCTGGAAATTTAATCAATTCTAGTAATCCTGAATGTCTTAACAATACTTGAAATGTTATCATTTATGAAAATGTTATCAATCTTGGAAATGTTATCAACCTTGGTAATGTTATCAATCCTTGAAATGTTATCAATCTTTGAAATGTTATCAATCCTTAAAATGTTATCAATCTTTGAAATGTTATCAATCTTTGAAATGTTATCAATCTTGAAAATGTTATCAATCTTGGAAATGTCATCAATCTTGGAAATGTCATCAATCTTGAAAATGTTATCAACCTTGAAAATGTTATCAATCCTAGAAATGTTATCGATCTTGAAAATGTTATCAATCTTGGAAATGTTATCAACTTTGAAAATGTTATCAACCTTGAAAATGTTACCAATCTTTGAAATGTTATCAATCTTGAAAATGTTCATCAATCTTGGAAATGTCATCAATCTTGAAAATGTTATCAACCTTGGTAATGTTATCAATCGTAGAAATGTTATCGATCTTGAAAATGTTATCAATCTTGGAAATGTCATCAATCTTGAAAATGTTATCAACCTTGAAAATGTTATCAATCTTGAAAATGTTTTCAATCTTGAAAATGTTATCAATCTTGAAAATGTTATCAACCTTGGTAATGTTATCAATCTTGAAAATGTTATCAATCTTGGAAATGTTATCAACCTTGAAAATGTTATCAACCTTGAAAATGTTATCAGTCTTGGAAATATTATCAATCTTGAAAATGTTATCAACCTTGAAAATGTTATCAACCTTGGTAATGTTATCAATCGTAGAAATGTTATCGATGTTGAAAATGTTATCAATCTTGGAAATGTCATCAATCTTGAAAATGTTATCAACCTTGAAAATGTTATCAATCTTGAAAATGTTTTCAATCTTGAAAATGTTATCAATCTTGAAAATGTTATCAATCTTGAAAATGTTATCAACCTTGAAAATGTTATCAACCTTGAAAATGTTATCAGTCTTGGAAATATTATCAATCTTGAAAATGTTATCAACCTTGAAAATGTTATCAATCTTGAAAATGTTATCAATCTTGGAAATGTTATCAACCTTGGTAATGTTATCAATCCTTGAAATGTTATCAATCTTTGAAATGTTACCAATCCTAGAAATGTTATCGATCTTGAAAATGTTATCAATCTTGGAAATGTTATCAATCTTGAAAATGTTATCAACCTTGAAAGCATTCATCTGGCTATTTTCCCTAAAATAACACATGATATATTTTTCGACATCACCAGCACCAGATCTAAAGGAGTAGTCAAGATGCACCGCATGTACCCTAGAACAGTGTAAAATCTATGGGCTCTCAAATTTAAGTTAAATGAATTAACCAAAACAAGAACATTTTTTATTTTTATTTACAAATAAATTCTGCTGATAACTTGCATCTGTGAATTCTACAGAAGAATATATCGTGTCTTCGCCTCTTAAACTATTGTTATTTTGACTAAATTGCATTGTGTCTTCGTGTCGGCGCCCTGAAACGTTGAAGGCGAAGACACGATGTCAGCATGTGATCGTGTTTTCGCCTTCGAACTTTGAGGAGGGAAGACACGAAGACACGAAATGATAGACATCAGTCACAATTACTTTAAAAAATGTGATCCACGCCGAACGTGCAGTCAGAATCTCTATAGTGAAAAGACGATATAGCCTTAGCACATCCAACGCTAGGCTCTCCCCTCGTTTTGATTGATAATAAGCATTCGTTGTATAACAGCACTCTCCGGTGCAATAAATTGTTTATTAACCATATGAGCCGCGTCACGACAAAACCAACATAGAGCGTTTGCGACCAGCATGGATCCAGACCAGCCTGCGCATCCGTGCAGTCTAATCAGAATCCATGCTGTTCGCTTACCAACTCTATTACAAGTAGAGAAACTGATAGCGAACAACATGGATCCTGATCAGAATGAGCGGATGCGCAGGCTGGTCTGGATCCATGCTGGTCGCAAACCCACTATGTTGGTTTTGTCGTGACGCGGCTCATATGGTTAAATGCCTTTTTCATTGAGAATTACATAATTATGTTTTTTATTATATTTAGGTAACTTGACAATTTTGGCTATATGAAATTCAGAGGACAAAATCACTTTTTTATGTGATTGCATCAATAATAAAGCAAAATACATGAACAGACCCTGAGTAATTATTATTCATTTTATTATTTCATTCTATTTTACATGTACGATTTTGTGAACAAAACTGAACAGAGAAACTTATTTATTAATCGTGTAATCTCATATAATCTATATGAAATAGCTCACTACGGGAAGTAGTAGATACAGTTTAACTCATGACTGTAAATATGTGCAAATGTTTAACAGTTGAATGTTCTACTGTCGGGATCTTATTTAGTTATCATATTTACAGAGCAGCATTGTCTGTCTGTAGCCAGTGGTAGCCATAAAAAGCCCTAGTATCATTCTGTAGAGGTTCTCATATTTTCCTATTTTTCGAATGCGTTATATGTTGAACTTGTGTTGCTCTTGGTGTCCTTTCGAGTTGACATGATTTTGTGAGTCTAGTTCAACCCTTTCAACGCAATAAACCTTAAATGGTTATCAAAAATAGTTGTTTTCCTTTAGTTATACTTGTCTACGTTCTTGCATTGCTTTTTTCTGGCTTATCTCCGTGGTTTTGAATTAGAGGAAGCCCTTTTTGTTATACATAAGAAAACATGACTTTCATAGATAAACAAAAAGATATAACATAAAATATTTTATTATATGCAATAAATATACTGTTTTGTAAAAACATAAACGTATAAAATAAAGAAATAAAACAATTTGACTTAAGAATGCTGTAACAAACAATACCAAAATAAATGGATTAAAGCATCTACAGCCAATACTTTTCATACATATCACATTGACTTATAATCCCAAAAATAAAAATAAATCTGTTTTTATCCAGGGAGTGTCAGAGAGAGTATATTACAACTCATAAGAACACAACAAAAATACAAATTAATAAAAGCCATTGAGCAAATCATCTGTTGCAATCGGTGATGTGTATTATACTCTAGTCAACCATTGACAGTTATGTGCCTGGAAACATCCATTGACCCTATAGCCGTTACCCTGTAAATATATATAAATAAAGAGAAATAAATAATGGTCTTAGTATTCAGTTTAATAAAAAACATATGTAAAAATGGAATAAATAGATAAAAAAATAAAGTACAAATTGTTTGCTTTGTGATTTTTGTGTGTGTGTCAATAGTAATTTACTGGTAAACAAAGAGAAGTGTGCCGTGTTGCGTACCAGTAATATAATTTTTTCTTGATCTTTTATAAGAAATGTTCAATTTTATTCAAAGTGACATTAATAACTTTCCAAGTGTAAATAATGGGACCAAAGAGAAAATACAATAATAATTTTACATTTTGCCAGAATTGTATTCAATTTTATATTTTACTATGCAAAAATAATCAATAATCCTGTTTGGAATGTATCTGTAACGTTCAATATTTATAAAAAGTGAGATAGTCTTTTTATAATTTGGATAGTTTTTTTATATTTTATCCTTAATATTTTCAATATCAATGTTTGGTCAGTCACCATTATGATATATTTCTTATTCAACTCAACTTCACAAGGAAGTAAATAAGCGTAATGTCGCTTTAATTTTTCAAAAGTTAAAAAAAAAGTATGTTATTCATAACCTAGTAAAATAAAATTGATTGTAGAACAAATCTGGCAAATTATCACTTCCCTATTATCAAAACATTAAAAGTTTGAATATTTAATGTAAATAATTAGAATTGAATTAATGCTACTCAACATTTATATAAACTTACATGAGAAGAATAGTTCGAAAAACATACACTTATTTATTTGAATAAATATAATGAAAATTTAAAAAAAAGAAAAAAAAGGACAATGGTGTAATTTTTAACATTGAGAGTTAGGTTTATAAAACTTTTTTTGTGTTCATTTATCTATAAGAACTGATATCATTGTCTATCTACAAAAGGACAAATTTAGTCGAAACTTTAGTATGAGTCAAAATGAAAGGATTAATCTATTGGTACAATAGTATGTCAGGAAAGTAATATAGCATTCAAAGCCGATTAAATCAGACTGTATTAAACACTAACCCTTCTCCTAAATTTTGCTGCACAACAACATCTGATAGTGGCTCTAGAGCCAGTTGGAACAATTTCACATGCCGTCGAATCTTTATTTATTTTGCAGATACACTCGTCACTGTGACTTTTGCACAAACACACATGAATTAGGACGGTGCAAATTATGGCAAATAACTGAACGGCTTTCATCAACTCCATCTACAAGTATTCAATAATTTCAATATTACAAACATAATCATACATTTAGTTTATAGTAACATTATGCTCATCTAAGTGTAACTGGCCAGTAGACATTATATCATATATTATATATTACAATGGAAAAACAACTAACCTGTAATACATATGATCAACGGAAATTTCTATTATAAATGAACCGTGTCATGACAAAACCAACATAATGGGTTTGCGACCAGCATGGATCCAGACCAGCCTGCGCATCCGCGCAGTCTGATCAGGATCCATGCTGTTCGCTATCAGTTTCTCTACTTGTAATAGGGTTTGTAAGCGAACAGCATGGATCCTGATCAGACTGCGCGGATGCGCAGGCTTGTCTGGATCCATGCTGGTCGCAAACCCATTATGTTGGTTTTGTCATGACACGGTTCAAATATTGTTCAGAATGTATAGGTAAAGATTACTTCTTAAAAAGAGTTGAACAGTCTTTTTAAATCTAGGTATAAATGTAGTTCTTTTATATTGTATCAGTACTACTTGTATCACAAACAATGGTCATATTCAATTATTGGTCAGACACTATTATAACTGTCAATTTTAGAAAAAAATATATTGCTAATTCAACTCGACAGCGAAAATGAGCATAATGTCCCGTGTACAAATACAATAAATGATACGGCATTTTCATTTGATAAACAAATTTTGTATATAAAAAAAAACATTGATTTATACATTTAAATATAAGCATCAATATTTGTCTATTATATCTATTTCACTGTCAAGGTACGTGCGTTCTATTTAATTCCTATAAAAAGCACATCTTTAAACATCACCCATGAAAATTGTTGTTTACAACAGAAACATATCTTATTCTTTGGTCACTGATATTCTAAACAGCACCGCTCTTTCTTGTGCATTTTATAAACTTGATCGAAAAGCGTGTTCTTCATAAAAATAAAAGGAATCAAGTTGAATAATTTGTAAATCCTTTTTTTTTTTAATTGTCTAAGTATAAAATATAAAAAAGAGAAAAGTGAGATTTTAAAACATCTTTTAAAGAAAATAATCATAATCTACCTACCTTGTAGTAATAATTGACGATCTCTTTAACTCGTTACCCTTATCAACTTTCCCGTGAATATTACCTTAACAGTAATTCTGATGACAAGTATTATGTTCTTGTTACTTTTAAGATTATAATAAAGTCTTTCTGAGATGACGGTATTTATACTGTCGCTCGCACTTTGCTGGCGTTCATGAATTTGTTAAGTCACACCTAATAGGAACTTTAACATTGAGCCCACCACGAACTTGACTCTCCCTACAAGAGTTCACAATTTTGATAGGCTATAAAACATCTATTCATCTACTTCAATAGACAGCATCTTTTACTTCATTTGAATGTAAATTCGGCCCCCTTCTCGCCACATCCGCATTTTGAAAGTTTCCTCAAAATCTAAAGAATCTGTATTTGTTTCCATATAACAATTTTCATTTAAACCTACATATACTATAAATTAATGTCCGACGGATAAACGCATCCTAGAGAAAATATTTGACTCAGGGCAAAACAAATGAGTCATTTTTTTATATATTTTTTAACATGATAGCTTTAAATATATATATTTAAAGCTATTATTAGAACAGTATTGTCAAAACTGTGAATTTTATGATGTGAAATTTGAAGTAATGAAATAAGAGAAAAGATACTACTGAATACAAACGAACGGGTAATATGTCTGCTCGAAATAGTGGGCACAATAGAGAAAATGGTCATTAGAAATGGTCGGATGGGCTGTATATCAAATTAAAGAGGTAATAGCTACAATATTAGAATTATAGATCGATTATGTTCATCATCTCGAGACTAAACAAAACTGTACAAGTGTTTGTTAAGTTAACTTGCCTGATTGCATTCAAGAATGCAATATGAATTGCAGTGGACATTTGCATTAGTCAATAATTTAATAGTATTTTAACGCTTAAGAGTGCATGTTCATTATTATTCAGCCAGGTGTGTTGAAGTGCTTTTTATAACATTAATGAAATTTGATATATCAATTAACTGTCGGTATCAATATCAGGCGAACAAAAGGTATAAGTTTTTTGATATTCACATTAACTGAAGCGGCTAAATTCTTGGTTTAAATTAACCAATCGAAAGTTTGCTTTGTCACCATCCAATGATCATCATTCTCTGTTACAAGTTTAAGTTAATTTATGCATTTTCCTGTCACAGTACTTTTTTTCTCTCGAAAAGTGCAAACATTTTGGTAGTTAATAGTTTCAATAAATAACAACATTTAAACCTAACAATAATTTTACTTTACCATAAGATGAAAATACATTTTTATCATAGTAATTAAGTATATTGTGCTGGCTCGTATCATGAAGATTGTAAAACTACGGGAACGTTAAGGGGCCTCAAGTAACTGAGATCATGGTTTTAATGGTTTTTCTGGTCTATTGGTTTTACTAGTCTACTGCTTTTAATTCCATTTAATTAGACGTGTTAACACAAATCAATTTATTTTTTCACAAAAATTGAAAAGTTCCCGAAATGCTTGAAGGTTTTGTCTAGGCGAAAATGTATCTTTTCATCTTTCGTAAAACATTACGTAAGCTTATCAGGGCCAATACTTATCTAAAAGTTTCACGTCATGTCAACTTGTTTCTTCTCGTTTTGACCAAATACATTCCATGAAATTGTATTAATTAATACGTAATGCATAAAACATTCCGTGAAGACGTTATGATTTATACGTAATACGTACAAGTTTTTAATCATTGCAAAAAACTTTGTTAAATTACGTGAGCTACTTGTCAATGCGAGTAACGCCTTTGCGTCTTACTAAATATTTCAGCAATTTCGTGAAATCAAGAAGTGTCGACAGGATTTTTGTCGAATAGACAAAAACTTCAAGCAAATCGAGAAAAGTTCAGTTGCAATGCCTAAAAGCTTCTCATATTTGTTAGTAAATTTTATTGAGAAATGCATAAACATCTTATCAATGCGAATAAAAATAAGTTTACTTGGCGCAAAACTTCTTACCGACTGTAGGCCCTGATACGCTTCCGTAAAACATTTGTCTTTTTGACATAAAAATCGCCTAGACAAAAAACTTCAAGCATTTTGGGAAAAGTGACTAAGAATAACAAAAAAATGATCTAGTCTTTGTGAGTAATATTAATTGAATTGTGTAAAAACATCTACTCAAATCGTACAATAATCAGTCGTCTTACACCTCATGATCGTACAAAATGGAGGCCCTTTAACGTTTCCGTATAAAACTAAGCAAGATCCTTTCACAATAGTTTAAGAATGACTATGGATTTTCGTTAAAATCCGGGTTAAGTATGACTGTTACTATCAAAAAGTACAATCTAGATATATATATAAACATGAAATTTTAATTTGTTGACTTATTGAATATTTAAGGAATAGTGGTATTTACTACAAATTTTTGTATTAAAAGTACAATGACAAGCCCTTTGCATGTAGATGCTGGCAAAATAAACAAAAACAGGAACTAACTAAAAAGCTGTTGCTTTTTTTACCCGTCAACAGTTAACTAACTTGAGTTTTATTGAAATTATAATTTTATTGAAAAATAAGTGAGATAATATTCAGTCGTTATTTTATTATTCATACAAAGCAGTAACACAGGCATATATACAAAATTGATGTGAAAAAGAAATTATATTTATACACATGCGTAATAATAATATATATGTACCCTATAATTTTGAAAGTCAAATAAATATTTATCAGTTGTTATGTAGTAAACACTTTTTTCAAGCCAGTATCTATTTTTTCCATGTCCACTTTTTCTTGTCCACCAGGAAATTGTCTCGTGTACTTCCGTGCATATCAAACTTCATTTTGTATTTAGTGCTATAAAGTTCGATTCTACAATTGAAACTATAATTGCTTTAATGTTTTTCTCAAATTTAAGATATAATTTCTTTACTTTTAAAGAATCAAAAACGTTAAAAATCAGTTATTTTAAAGGAGGTCGAAAACTCAAGGAGTTGAAAAATCATTCAAAGCTCGGTAGAGTTGGGGTGGTGACTGAGGCAAAGATTAAAGGGGTGGTATAGTCTTACTTGCTTACTTATATGAGCCTGAGCAATACAAATAATTATTGACCAATCGCTTTTTAATCAAACCTAATACAGGGAAAGTAATTTGGTTGGTGACGGAAGACTTTCATTAAACAAAACATGTTTCTTTATTACAATGAATTTTATAGAGGCAGTATATCTTGGAACCTAAATATTAAACAGTTTGATGAAAGAGAAGCATTATTATATTAGTATCTTTGAAAATTTATCTGTTATCATTAATGAAAAATGGGTTAACAAATATCAATTAATGATCGAAACAGTATGTAAACCTAATATTGCATAATTTTGATAAAAAGAATCCTTTGTACTAAAATAATCGTTAATGTTTGGACCCCAATCATTATTTAAATCGGTCATATGAACACATTTTAATAATTGTTACAAAATAATGAAATACGTCATTAGCTATCATTATTCAAATTGAGCCGCGTCACGACAAAAACAACATAGTGGGTTTGCGACCAGCATGGATCCAGACAAGCCTGCGCATCCGCGCAGTCTGATCAGGATCCATGCTGTTCGCTTACAAACCCTATTACAAGTACAGAAACTGATAGCGAACAGCATGGATCCTGATCAGACTGCGCGGATGTGCAGGCTGGTCTGGATCCATGCTGGTCGCAAACACATTATGTTTGTTTTGTCGTGACACGGCTCAAATGTTGAATTGTGCTCGTGACGATGGCGGCGTGGCAAGGACGACATTCGTCTTTCCAACTCAAGTATCCATAAACATGTAAAATTAGTTTGAAATAATGCCACTTTTAAAATGATTTCATATTATCCTAATGTATTTTAATAAAATTACTTAAACACTACACAAACTGTTGAAATATCATTATCACGATTGTCCCCCTTGAACTAATATTTTAAATAAAATTAATGATTTTTATTTTTAAACAATTTTCCATTGCCATACAAGTAGCCAATCCTAACAAATGCGCATTAGTTTCTTATCAAATTCGTTTGTTTGTTGCTTTTTTTCTCGATTTTGAAATTAACAAATATTGTCTTGTGTCATGTCAAAGAAAAATATGAAAGTGAAACAGGGTAAAATATATCTTTGGTCTCATCACTTGCGCTTTATATCTGAAATAAACATTTTGATAATGTGTCCACTCAAAATAATGCCCTATATAGTGAAATGGTCGATAAGTTTAACTAAACATTAAAAAAGTAAAACATATTGCGTCTAAACGTTTGAACCCAATACAAAATAATTGACATTTTTCATAACCAGTCATACATAAATGAACAGTCATACATAAATGATGTATTAAAAGGATAATAAATCTTATCTGTAATATCTTTTAGGCGGCATCGTTTCAAACATGGATGAAGTTATTTGAATATTAAAATGACTGAAACCAGGGTTACATTTGTACATGTATAAAAATACAGTATGTCGGTAAAAAACACCAAGTGTTGGAATATATCCTTTAAGATAATATCTGTGTAAATTCATCTCAAGCTTCTTATCCGGAGGGTGTCCTGAAAAGTTGCTTAAATAAAATATTATGTTTAACGTGTAACTGATTTTTTTCCCCGGCAATGTTCAAATCTTCGACCGCAGCACCTTTGGGAAATCTTCTATCTACGTGCTGAATGTATTATTTCCAAGCCCAGTCAAAAGAGTGTGAGGAGTTTCTCCTGTAAAATAGGAAAAAAAGAGAAATATGTTTTTAAAAATATGTATAGAAATAAATGATTTAATGCTTTATGTTGCAGCAAAAATTCAAATTGCTTTTCCTGAACATACAGGGTGACTTATTTTGACAGTACTTACGTAAAACGCACACATAAAAATCACAAGATTCTAGTGATACCTTTATCAAAATGCTTTCTCATATACACCCGTGTTTCTATAAATCACAAACAAAGAATATGCTTTCCTCAGTAAACAAAGCCTTGACAGCAAAAACAATTCTTTGATCAGAACTCAAACTAAAATGGTCTAAAATGAAAACTGCATGCACATCTTTTGTTTAAAAGATATTGAACTGCTGTTCTTTGCTGAAAAACTGTGGTAACATCCAAATTTCTGTCTCATTTACATTTTATTCGGTATAAGTACGTTTATTGATTTACAGAAATGTTGTTCATTGTGAAAGGCAAACTTGTATCATAGTTTGGGGAACTTTCTATTGAAAATGTGTGAGTTAAATTGTATACACAAACATGCACAGTGTGTTAACTGGAGTGCAGGTATTAGTTACCCAGCCTCCAGAACATGCTCATTGATCGGCTTATTTTTTTTCTGGAGTTTACTTATTGTGACGAATGAGAAAGGGATAACGTCAGAAATATCATATTCAGATGCTTGTTATTTGGTTACTTTTCTCTGGGTTTTATACTGTGACAACAGGGAACGTGTTTTTATTTTTGCCTATGATACAAACGAGAAAGAACATCAAAACACTCGGCAACCTGATTTATACTCGTACAAATCAGAAAGCGCTCTTTCTGAACATTACGAAAATATCACGTGGTTTTGTTTTTTATTTTAGAAATATATTACTTATAATTACGGACATGTAATAAAAGCTATACCTGCGTCGCATGGCTAACACCACCAAAACAACAACAACAACAACGAGGACAAAAACAACAGAAGCTCCAACAACAACACCTATTATAATACTATTATCATTGTTTAACGAACTCTCTGTCGTTTCAATACCTAGAAATAATAAAACACAAGTACACTTTTATAAATAATATTCAAACCTGTTTAAAAAAGCAAAAACAATATGATTATTATTTTTCAATAATTAGCCGCATTGAAACATGTTTTACCATTGTTCATTATCTTGAATAATTTGTCAATTCTCAAGCGCCAATAGCTAGTTTTATTTTACAAATATTCACTGTGCTATAAAGACGGAAACATGAACATAAAACTCGGTATTATAGTAAAGAAAACTATTTCGAAAAATAAACGTGTACGTATAAACTGAAAATTACTTTATTATTAGTCCAATACAACGATTTTTATATTGTGTCTAATTTGAGATGATTTTGAACATTTTTGTATTTATTCGCGCTCCAAAATGTAAACATACATCAAAATTATGTAAACCCCTAACCTGCTTAATTTCTAAAAAAATAACTTGTCCGGCTACCGTACGTAAAGACAGACCTGACCTGGCTCTCAACTAGTGGCAAAAGCTCCATACAGGTAAGTTATTAAATGAAAAAGGGATTCGTTAAAGTTTTTCTACATGGTTCAAAACTTGAAGTAGACAAACATGCAATAAAAAGGTGAATCTTTAGTTTGACTTGTATATACTTACTTTGGCTGCTCGTGAAATATGTGTAGAAGAACTCAGAGGTATTGATGTTGACGATGAGAAATTTTGCTAAAAAAGAAAAGTTTATTGTTTATGTGAACATTATAATAGATCAATCTATGCACAACCTGACTTTATATCATTAGCTGAACTATCTTTTCTTGTATTTGTAATAATAACCCATTAGGCGTTTGTTTTAAAGTTTTCACATAGAATGAAGACTGACGAAAACTTTGAATAATCATAAAATATGACAAACGAAACAGTTTTAGAAAAGTGAGTTGCCGATCTCATTTCTGATTTAACTGCTCTTAAATTTGATTAAAAAATGCTGAGGTCATTTTTATCATATTTTAACGTTATACATATGTACAAAGTCCTGCATAAATTAAATGAGAGCTTTCTTTTTTTCGCATAAATATTAATATCAAAGTTATATTCATGAGTTATGTATATTATCTTGAAACTAGTGAGTCAAATAATACAAGCATACCTGTTTTGATTGAGTGGTTGTAGGTAATGTTGATGTTGATAAAGTTGTTGTTGTTGTATCTTAAGTAAAAAACGAGAAATGATATACAATTATTGATGCAGCTAGAAAATTGAAAAAAACATATATATACTCAAAAGTGATATAGTTTTGTCAACATAGTTGACATATTCCAAACTCAAAAACTAAGGCAAGCATTATCTTTCGTCGCAAAAACTGAGATGTTATAAAGATATAACTGCCGTGTTTCAGAATGTCCCTTTTAGCTGATAAATGAAAAATATGAAAAAGTACATCCTTGTATTATTAAAGTATGTAATGCTTATTTTACAGACATAGTATTCTGACGCAAATATCAATGCGTTTTTTAATCGAACAATCATAACAAATATTTGTATAGCATTAATTCTAAAATGGGAAATACTTCCAGGGAAATGTAGAAAAACAAAAACAAACAACTACAGCAATTTTGTTAAAAAAAATGTTGTCCATTTTGTTTATTGAATCTGTTCATGAGATATAAAGTAAAGTATACGTAAAACATATCTCACGTCTCCTAACAACGGCTTATCAATAAAAAAATCAATAACTGAAAATCAATAATCCCAACATGAAACATAATATATTGTTATATAACAATAATATTCCATTTACAGTTGCTATACAGCACTTGGCGGCGGCTGTTGTAAGAATAAAAAAATTCTGGACAGGGGAGATCACTCGTGAGCAATAAAAACAAAAACAATAACAAACACCCCCACTCCCCACAATTGCAGGTTCTGTTTTACTGACTATTTTCATGATTGATAATGCTATGTAAGTTTACCTTCATATGGTTTAGGAAGAGAATAAGCGAACTTGACTCCTGTGTTGTTGAACGTTCCATAATTGTACAGCTGAATTACAAAAATTAAAGAATTATTAAAAAGAACTTTTCTGGACAGCAATTTCAAACTCGGTTTTGATAATATCAGTGTATGTATGAACGCGTCGCTATCTTAATTTAATTTATATAATTTGACATCAGACTATCTGCAAGAATCCAGTGGTAACACTGGCTGATTACATCATGTGTCACGAGTTCAATCTCCCAGTACAGAAAGTAAGTTTTCTTATAGTATTTCAGATGAGATCTTAAAATAATGTTGCCTCTGTTTCTTTTACATATATTTTAATATTCAAAGAGTATTGCTTTACGTTATAAAATAATATTGCTTTACGTTATCAAAGAGCATTGCTTTCTAGAACGGAGAAATCTGTTCTTTAAACTTCAATTGTAAGTAATAGAAAGAGCACCGAAACACGAGGCTATCTGATTTTAACGAGGGGCGTAGCATTTTCTGTTGTCACAATATGAAACCCAAGAAAAAAGTAACCAATGGACGAGCATCTAAATATGATATATCTGTCGCTTTCCCTTTCTCTGTCGTCACAATAAGTAAACCCCAGCAAAAAAACAACAACAAAAAACCTTCTAAATCTTTAGTATTAAAATAAAACTAATTTTTCACTTCTTATTGCAAACAAAGTAGTTATCATCGAACAAATTGTTTTCCTTTATAAATCATATATAATTAATTGACATTATTTCAAGTATATACTAGTTCTAAGATATCCTTATACCTTTATAACGACATCCTGGGTTAAAGGTCCTTCTGCATATAAGTATTGTTTAGACCATAACAAATACCATTCAGTTCCTGCAAATTTCACTGGATCTTTTGTTGTGTCCAGCGTTCTGAATATAATCACTCCCGTGTCCGTATCCGGTGTACGTAGTTCTGAATTATGAATATTTAATATGAAACTACCTTTTATCATACAATTTCAAAGCATCTACATATAACCTCCGAGCAGTTATGATTATAAGGGAAACAAATTGAAAATTGACATTTTATCTATAAAAGAGTAGACACACAATAACAGCTTCATGAATTACGTCATACATTTAAATAGAAACGCCATGTCCAAGACAAAATAAAAATTACTTCTTGCTGACAATTAACTATTTTGAGAAAACTTCTCGATCTGTGCTACAATTATTTAGACTGCATCATTTCATTGTTGGGTGTTTAATATATTTTCAAATTCATAGAACATTTATCACCTAGGAAATGGTTTTTCATAGTCCCATATGTAAAGTAGAACTGTATAAGAGATGCATTTGCTGGCACAACGTCAATTATACCTCGCTGACCTGCAAACAAATTAAATAATATGTCTATAAAATAATAACACTGTGTATATTATAATAATTATATGTATCAATTTCTAATAACTTTTTAAACAAAACATATGATATGTATGTCTTTATAACAAGTCCCTTAACTTATTTTCATGACGCAGCATTGCCGAGTGCTTAACGCTTCTGACTAATAATCTAAAGATCGCAGGTCAAGTACATATGTATTCAAACTTAGTTCAGGGCAAGCCGTTTTTAAGTTGCTTAGCAATGGCTGGTTGCAAAAAGGTCTTGAGGCTTATAGCAGAAAGAACCAAAATTAACATATGTATAAACTAAATACAATGCATATAAAATGTCACAGTTCTCTTATCAATACAAATTTGTTATTGACGAAAACGTCAAATAACACCGACGTTGTTATTACCACATTACGTTTGCATGACATAATTACGTGAAAACGACTTTTTCAGTTGAAATGATAACTTGAAAATTTTATCCTGGAATCCCTGATTGCAACAATAGACTGTTCCAAACATAAAGTATGCAAGATCTCGTCAGAGAAGAAAAGAAGAAAAAAGCATAAAACTACCTTTTCCTACGATGATTTCATAAACACCTTCTACTGTTGTACAAGTGGAGTTGTTTCCGTCGCAGACGCCACAACGGTCACGTGTTAGTGGGGGATTTCCGGTCTTGTTATCACAGCCAAATAACTAAATATTTCAGATCACAAAAACGTAAAGGGGAAATAAATGTTTGAGAAATGCTTTAAGATAAGATAATGTTCTTGAGTTATAACATATTAACGTAAAATCAGGTGTAAAGACCGTTTCCAAATAAAGATAATACGTAGAAATGTCGAACAATTTCATAAATCCTAAATTGGACAACCAATTTGATAAATTGAAACAAAGTGCAATTTAACCCATTCATAAACCAACTGCCAGTTTAAACTATGTCTATATTAGGTTTATTAACATAAATTGAAACGTACATGTATATACAATTTCAAATAAAAGACTTACATAGCACTGACCATGGATACATTTTCCGAACATTCCCGATCTTCTCGGTAAATTGTTTTTCTCAACAAAGGATGATAATTGTAAGGGTGAACAAGGCGTACCGTTCGGCATTAAACCATTCCGTTTATTTTTTCCTCCCGTATAATTACTTACCCTGTCGCATTTTACCTCGCACTGACCATTATCTACAATACAAACAAACAAAACATTTTGTCGTTGTTCAAGATGTCTTTAATGTAACGTATTTATAATTTGTATAACATAAAATACCAGTGCATTTCATGAAATGGTGGATACTAGTATTAGAAATGGCAGTGTTGGCCCAGTAGTTACGGCGTCTATCTCTCGAGCAATACTAAGAATGTGTTCTTATGTTCATGACATTATGGCTTGTCTTATTAGTGGACCGCAAGTGATCAGTCTAACTTGAAAAAAGAACTTTTTGCAATCGCTCAGTATTGATAAAATAGAGGATATTTGTTTGTTTTGCATGTAAGATTGAAATATAATTTCACTGAGTGAACACCAGATGCAATATTTTCACGAGTGGCGTAGCCACGAGTGAAAATATAATAGCTGGTGTTCACGAATGAAATATATTTCAATCTTATATGTAAAACAAATAAATTTTCTTTTTATTTTATGCTTTTTTAGTGATTTTAAGTATCTTTTTACTGATTTTGCCGCGTAACGTCGCGCATTCTCCTTTGTGACGTCATTATATCATGACGTCACAACATAAGTTTTGAAATATAGTTCTGTTAAATTTCTCTAATTTTGTTAAATTTTTAACATGATGTATGATAACATTGACTTTCTTTTCCTAAATAAGCAAATTTACGTATGACGGCATTTATCTCTGCCTGTTATTCCATTTGGTTATGATTTTCTTTTCATCCGCATTCAGATATAGTCCGGCTACAGTGAAAATTATATTTTATAAATTTCACTAGTGGTTTATCAGAATATAATCATCTGATATATTGTAATAAAACACTGGAAAGCATGAAATAATAAAGTGTAATTATGTTTAGTATTTGAAAAAAGCATAGCAATAACTTTAGTACTAATTAGAACAAAGTTCTTTAAGGGTAGCTTTGTAAAAAGACACATAGCAACATAGACACGATATTTTTTCAATTATATATAGTTTAATTACACTATATATATGAGATCCCCCAAGATACTGCTATTCCTCTGTGCAATTACATATTTTAACATGCTATGAAAACTGTAACTGGTCATTTCTAATTTAACTTTTAATAGTCACAACTTAAATCGTGACGCATGTGATAAAAATAGATTACTATGATTTCTTTTTTATTTGTACCTATGTTAATTTGTATTTCATATAAAACTGTCAGAGTGGATAGATTATTGCTCACTGTTATTGTATTTTTTGCCCGTGTTGAGGTAATTGGTGTGATCCTCTTCAATGGCTGCATAAACGTTGTTAGTCTTCCAGTAGCTGCATGTTTCACTAGCACGTTGTTTTATAATCTGTGATTCTACCAAACTATCATTCTCACATACCTTTAACAAAACTTCATAAATAAAACTTTGGCCGTCGCCGAGAACTATTTGACCACTAAATTAGTATACAAAGTCTTTCTATTAAGAACATATGAACAATTTGTTTACATAATAACTTTTACAACGTTGTTTTCTTTTAGTTTCACTAGTTTCGCAAAATCTATTTCATATAATAATGATAGTTTTCATAACATTTTAAATCAGGGGTACCGTACTAGGCAACATATATCAGCAACTATTCATCCATTTTATATAGTGGCCGATTTGGAACGCTTTTGTGCGTCGTGTTGTCGCTAGTGAAAGCACGACAAAGCGCCAAACGGCGCGTTGTCTGACTTTCGTCTTGTCGTCCTGTCGCTAGCGAAGCACATCAAACGTCGCGTTGTCTTGCGGCGCGTTGTCGCAATGTTGCTCTGTCACTTGGCTTATAAATATACAAATAGCCAATCTTTCGATTTGAGCCGAGCGACAATGTGACATCGCGACAACAAGCCACACGACATCGCGCCGTTTGGTGTGCATCGTTAGCGATAGGACGACAAGACGACAATGCATCATCGCGTCGTTTAGCACTTTGTCGTCCTGTCGCTAGCGACAACTAGACGCACAAAAGTGTTCCAAATCAGCCACCATAATTTTACCATTTGAAGGTGCTAGTATATACATATCGCGTTTTCAAAGATATGGTTAGAATCATTTTCAGTAAATTTACCTCAGTATTACATATTTCTGCATCATATTCGTTGCCTTCGCACCATACACTATTCTGTGGTCTGGAAATATCAAAAGCATCCGAGGGGTTATCCAAAAGTTTAGTCAGTCATTACTTTGAATTTGAAAAAAAATCAGCACTGTCTAGTATTTATTTGCTTACTTTTCATTTTTTTACATTCACCGTCCACCGAATATATTGGCATGTATTTAAACAATTGATTATACATGTATATAGCTTTATTTTTTTAAAAGTTTTAATCCTACTAATACTAGTAACAAAATTATCTTGCTTACGTCAAAAGACTGAAACCTCAACATCCTGTACATACTAGCTATTTGTCTATGCTGTTAGGCGGTAGATGATGAATAACATTTGATATTTAAACTGTAAATTTTATAAATGACAGTTCAAAATTAAAGTAGGACAAGACAAGACAAATTAAGTGTGAGAAGAATTAAAAATCTTATTTTCGTTAACATGGAAGATGTCGTACTTTGGATTATTACAAGTTCTTTGTCTATATCGGACGCCAGTTCCACACGTGCGACTACATGACGTCATTTCCGCCCAAGGTGACCAGTTTCCTTTAACTGTTTTAAATAGAAGTCTATCCAGACCTGTAGAGTTCCAACTAATACAGTTGCTTCCATCTACTTTTCTTGAAACACATACCTGGGTTTGAACAATAAATTATTTGAAGGTGAACATAAAAGCATGATTAAATATTAACTTAATGCCTCGCTAGGAATGATGGCTTAAATATCTTTAATATAAACCTAAAGAATCATGACCATAATTTATGTTAAGCACATTTTTAACAAATAGTATTTACATATTTTATTAGAGTCAGATATTATAAAATGATATTTTCAAGACAAAAAAAATTATAAAGATAACTGCCGAGTACGTCAAATCAAACCTTAGTTTATGCAAATCATGTGGAACCTAACATGTATGAATGGTTAATGTAACTTTTTACTTTTTTCACTGACTGAACTTTCTCCTATGTAAAGGAATACAGCTTAATTAAATTTGAAACTTTTTTCTAAGGTATTATAATGATATGGAGAATAAAACACGGAGAACATGTCATGATGAAGTTAACATACCATTTCTTGTCCACAATTACCGCCGTCTGTAGGTGTGATATAACTGAAGCTGACTCCATAAAATGAAGATGTCGTGTTTAGATTCACACATTGATATGATGGACATTGTTTCTGAGGACAGATAATAGAAGTTGATATTAGTTTTAAACTGTTTAGATTTAACAGATGGACAAAACTGTAATTAAATGAAGTAAGCAGATATATAAAAGTATTTATAGTAAGGGGAAATAACTCCATGTCGAAAAAGAAAGAAAAACTGAAACGCAGGCATTTAAAACATAAAACTGGTATCTTAGTGTACATATAGACATTCACAATCATCAATATCTTTGTACTGACAAGTAATAATACTGTTATATTAACATCAACAGGGCGAAAAAAATCATGCCAATAACAAAGAAATATTTGTTGAAGTTTATATCGGAATAGACAATACATATCACGCAAAGTAAAAATGTCTGACGAATACTATGTCGAATTAACTTATTTAATGAGTAAATATTTGGCTGTTAAACGTGTTGTCGTTCCGTATAACCTATTTTATACTCATCTTAATCATATACGAACTATATATATATAACGTTCGCATGAAGGAGGATAAAAGTATTGTGTGTGTAAAGGCCTAAACAGACGGTAGGATTTTGAAGTACAACACCAATTAAAACTAAGATGTACAGACAAATCTTAATGTGTGAAGGCTACTATTTCTTGATTTCGGAAACCTTAAGATAGAACATGTTCTACTTTGTAAATCTTGTCGTACAGATTTCTACAGACCTCCCACAATGACAAGTAACAGATTACCAAAGTATCTCCTGATAATGGGTGTAATGAATGAAATTCAAGAACAATTAGAGCTAAAATGTAAACATAGTCGTAAGATGGGGTAAAATGATGTTGAAAAAACTCTTCAGGAGACCCAAAGTTGTATAGGCGGCCGGATAGCTCAGTCAGTAGAACCGCAGTACGGTATTCCGAGGGTTCCAGGTTTGAGTCTCGGTCAGGCTGCACATTAAAAAAAAACGACAATTTTTTTAAATGGAGGTGTTTCAATCATTACTCATGGAGAACAAAAAAATTTAGTGAGTATGATGTAAGGGATCAATTTATTTAGGGAAACCTGAGATGATTCCTACAATGCAGAATTACCGTCTGAATGCAAGTGCTGTATTGCTTTGAAAATTGTACATCTTATCTCTAATTAGTGTTGTACGACTAAATCCTACCGTCTGTTGAGGTCTTAAGGTGACTCCGCAGTTTTTCGCCAGGAGGTGTGCTAAAATTATTTCAATTTGGGCGGCTAAATTGTTTTGTTAAGGACTTGAACTTAATTGAATTTGAAACATTTTACTTAGATATTATAAAGAGTTTGAAGAAGAAAACACTGAGGATATATATTCATTTCCATTTACATAAACCATTTCTTGTCCACGATTAGCGCCGTCGGTAGGCGTGCTTTAATTGATGCTGCTTCCTTATTTAGAATGCATGAAAATGTCGTGTTTAGATAAAGCACCATGATGATATGAAATATTGTATTTCTTACTAACTAACTACTGACTTCATAGACTATTGTTAGTTAAAGGTCAATGTATATATATTTGTATATACACACCTCGTTATTGGCCTTGTACCGGAATCCCGGTCCATGTTTGAACCCACAGATTTCATCATTGCTGTAAACCATTCCTAAAGAGTAGCAGAAATTTTATATAATTATTTAATTTATACTCATCCATTTTCCTTTTGTTTGCAATTAATGATATCGCATTTTAAAATCTTTTATACTTTTTATCGCCTGAATATATTTTTTCTTTGTAAAAACATGTTATAATAGAATGCAATAATTTACTAAAGGTGTTATTTATTACATAAATGAATATGTAAAGAATTATTTTATGTGCATGTAAAGCTATCGATTACAAGGCCGTTCCCCTACATATGGAAAAACGTGATATATTTTTTTCTTCAATCAAATTTTTTAAAAGCATTTGGCATCTTAGTGGTAATCTATGGAAGCATATAAGGAGCATTCCGATTTATTTTTCACATCCTATCTCGTGGCCACGAGATTTAACTCAGAAAAAAGCGAAAAAAAAGCTATCTTGTTCTTCGAGATACAACTAAGAAAAAAATCAAATCTCGTACCTACGAGATGTAACTCGGAAAAAATCGCGATCTCTTTCCTTCGAGATATAACTCAGTAATAAAGAGGTAAAAAATGCTATCTCGTGGCCACGAGCTAAAACTCAAATATCTCGTTTCCACGAGATATAACTCAGAGAGAAAAAAACATCAATTAACAAAATTTGCTATCTCGTGATCACGACTTAGCCGACCAATCAGATGATTTTCGTGTTTTTATCTGAGTTACAATGTATATCTCGCATTTTGTATACATATCATTTTTTATATGTTTATCTCGTGGCCAAGAGATGAGAAAAAAGAAATCGGGATGTCCCCTCCAGGCTTCCGTAGTACTCCATGCTACTTTCAAATAAAGCAAAAATGTGAGATATATGAATAACTTTGCTATATTAAAATTTCTTACCTGGCCATGCCTCCGTTATATTTATTTTATCATTTGCAGGAATATTTGTTGTAAAAAGACATGACGCCGTTGATTTTCTACAAATAAAGAACACGTTGCGAATTTGAATTTCATATTTATACCTAATTTTAATAGTTCGGACTTTAAGCGGAGTTTAAAGGTACATCAACAATATCTTATAACTTTCTGTATTTTACAGAACAATCTTGTAAATAGCAAAATATGTTCATATCGTTTCAATGCAAAACGGAGAAAAGGGCATTTTCCTACTTTATCGACACGACATCTTACTAAAATGTATGTTTTGTCAAGAACAGATAACAAATTGTTAACATGACATATAATACTACATTTTTGCAAAATACAGACATTTTCCCCCTTTTATTATTATTTTTAAAACAACATACCCAAAGAAATTTAATATTTATATGAATTAAAATTATAATAGGGAAATCGAATAATATTAAATGTTCTTGCACGTTGGTAATCTAATTCAGCGCAAACTCCACAATGAATACCCTAATTTTGCTTATTTGGTGATTGCTTGCTCTTCCGTCATTCTCTGATATAGTTTAGTACAATAACCAACAAGACAGAAAAGAAGCCAAGTATTATGTAACTTTGGTTGGTAATAATTACTTACTTTACTGATACGCCAAAAATAGAGATATATATATTTGTCTCAATACGCGTTTACTTGCTCGGAAACAGGAAAGTAATTGTTAGATTTTATTTCTTCTCTATACCCATGAAAAAAATACATCGTAGATAGCCGTTATGATGATATTAAAATGCGTACAGTGTCATCATAGTGCTTTACTATTTCGCAGTCAAACAATTCTTTTGAAACAAGAGACACTTTGTTTGCCATATGGATAAGCAATAAATTACTTATAACGAGTATATAAAGTAAAATGAGATACAATTCACATACTTTAAAAGGTGTTCCATTGCACCGACACTGCAGCGACTCCAGCTTAATGATCTACTGCCCATGATGCCATCATTGGGGCTCGGACATCCAACATCTCCGTCGTGGCCCATCCCCATACTGTAATACCCAATATCATTTGTTAAATGTATAGTCTGTCAAACAAATTATTGAACATTTCATTTTTTATGAAATATGATAGTATAATCATCTAATTAATGCAATTTTACCATGGAGACAATATCTCTAGGTATGTTTTCATTTATAATAACAATTGGTTACTTAAATGTACATACATATTACCAAAATTAATTGCTGAACGTGATGTAATGTTTTTTCTTTACTTCAGAATTTCGTCAGTACAACTTGGATCTTACATGTTTAAGAAAGAACCTATAAGAGTATATTTAGAGAAAGAAATGTGTTAAACCTATGTCCAAGTTCATGTGCAGTGATAACATATTCGACCACACTAGTAATAGCAGACAAGGCACATTTGCCCCCGTCCTGACAAATTTCTCCTGTGTTTGCCTTTCCAGAATATCCGTCGGTGTTTTTCTTCCTTAAAAACAAAGATTTTTTATTTATATAATTTACATATTGAGAGTAAGTATGTTCCGTCCGAATTGATATGTTAACGGTTGTACAAAAGTCAGCCCATAAACAGTGCATGCGCACTACAGAAAATAAAATTATTGTTTATAGCCTTTTTTGGGTTAAATATTCAATTTTCAAAAACGTGTTTAAAGATTGTCTTGATCTATACAAAGAATTATTTTAACATAACTTACTTAAATGAAATGAAGTGGGCGCAATGTGTATTTTATCATACATGAAGTAAAAAAACTGAACGTAATCTATATGCATATCAGAGTCACGTGGTCGCTACAACAAAACCGGTTCATACATCCGGAAATTTATTAAATACATAAGCTATTACTTAGTTCAGGAGAACGTGATTCAGTACGTAAAAGAAAACATATACTGTAACTATAGAAAGTCCTAAGTGTATTTTAAGTCTTACAACATAAAACCAACTTTACGACTAACTTATGATCGTTTTAATTAACTTTTTTTTTATCTTCAATTGTTTTACTTAACATTGTTATCTTCGGTCAAATAATATATAGACTACAAATATATACATCCTCCAAAGAAAGGTTAAAAAATACAATGACAGACTGTTTTATTCGCAATGTGTAAATGCCCATAAGCATTACTAGTCAGAAATTAAAAGTTTCATAACAAAAATTGTCTCAGTTTTGATCTTAAGACTGGTTCCAGACTTAGGACTTTCTATGAAACACAGTCCTAGTTGTTAAACTTAGATGATTATAATGAGAAAGATCTCGTATCGAAATATTTCATTTAAAACCAGATTGCATGATAAAAGATTATAATAATGAGCCGCGTCATGACAAAACCAACATAATGCATTTGCGACCAGCATGGATCCAGACCAGCCTGCGCATCCGCGCAGTCTGATCAGGATCCATGCTGTTCGCTATCGATTTCTCTACTTGTTATAGAGTTTGTAAGCGAACAGCATGGATCCTGATCAGACTGCGCGGATGCGCAGGCTGGTCTGGATCCATGCTGGTCGCAAACCCATAATGTTGGTTTTGTCATGACGCGGGTCATATTTCGCTTGATGTAATAATATTCATTGTCAAAGGCTATATAGAGTTAAAATCTTTTTTTTTTTTTGTATCTGTGGATATAATATTTTAAATGGTACCCAGTGAATAAAAAAATGTGATCATAGTCTTTCCATAGACCTCTTGACTTTGTTCCAGAACATAGCCGATATAATGTTGTATCTAATTCGGTTGATGGCACAAACCATGTCTAAAATAGAAAAGTACTACTGTATTTATATGAAATGACTACAAACGGTTACCAATGTTTAATACAAAATACAAATTCGGAAATATAATTCTTATAAGCCAACTAGTTGCATAATCTGTTTATATTACACGTATGTTCAAACCAGTATGACAACATAATAAAAGACATATTCTCAATAATCAGCTACGTTAAATTAAACCTATTCCAGCTCGTGTGTATGTATTAATATCAGTTTCTGTTCATTAACGTTACATATTCATTATGAATTCTTTATATGTCGCAATGATAATGATAATGTTTAACACTTCATACAGACTAAAACCAAGCAATTTTAATTGCTCTCTCTATCGATTATAAATCAGTTCTTGTTCATTCTCTATCCGACACCTTTTGGATAAATGACAGCGAATAATGTACTCTTGTGTTGTAAATAAATACAGATTGGTATTAAAATGATGAAATATTATTTAACGAAAAGTTTACAGAACATTTTTCTTGTCTTAATTATGTGTAAAACTACAAATGCTACCGAATAAGTCATACAAACCGGATTAGTTTCCCATAGAACAATATCTTTTATCGCTATCCGTACGTCATAACCAAACACATCTTTCCTACCCCACTCTGCTTGCGCCTGTAAACAATGTTTAATGTTAACAGTGAAATTTATTTTGCAATTATTACTTATCTTTAATAATAATTAGTCCTGGTAAAATTTAATTATTTTATCGAAGCATGCAACACATGAGTTTTAAATTTATTTATTATCTAATATTTGTCTGTTTTCTTTGTTTTGTTTATTTATTTATTATTATTGTTGTTTTTGTTGTTGTTGTTGTTGATTAAAGTAATCTCCTTTACCCTTAAACTTCTCAATGCTACATGTTAAAAGTAAGAAAATCTTAACTTAAGGTCAGATTGAATGTGAAAAGTAATCATAAATTAGCATTGCTATGTGCATTATATAGATAATAGAACACTAACAATACTAACAAAATTTACGTACCCCCATCCATTTTAGCGCAACAAGTTCGTACAAGGACTCATTTGTATTATGCCCCTTTGCTTTTAAATAAGATATATAGTCGGCATCCAAAATAACAACAGTTTCTATAATGATGGTTTCCACATTCCGTTTAACTCTTTCAGAAATTACCGAATCTGTAATGAAAATATTAATCTTTCTTTTCTTTGTGAAGTTCTGCCACACCATGGTCAAGTTTAACAAGTTAATAATATTAACATGTCTTCTTTTCATTAAGAAATTGAGCGCATTGTGTCCGCTTTTACATCCTCTGTAAACTTCTAAAAATGTCAAATTAGATTTTTATTTTTCAAAATGACACTATCAAAATAATATAATCTATTTTGAGACTATGACATAACTCTCTTGTTCACAAAAGAAAAGAATCCGTCCGTATAATATATTCCATCTTTTTGCTCGATCGGTGTCAATATTCATTTAGCTTTAAGGTCCCAGTCTATGAAAGGGTATTAACGCAAAAATTACATCTTGCTTTTTTATCCGTTCATTTAAATGAACTCATGCTTAATATAATGCAGAACGTGTATTACAAAAAGAATAAATCAATAAAATTTTAACACATTTACCTTGTTCTTTGATTTTATCAACGGCATCACTGAAGGTGTATATCTGGAAAAGGTATAATGTTCAGGAATAAACCAGAGATTCGCATTGTGAATATGTTAAATGGTCACAATAATAGTTACAAAATGGTCGTAACATAGTATATACCAAAAATATAGATGTAACAGTTGTCACTCTTTAAAATTTGATACATGTTATGCCATCATACTTATCCTCTGTCAATAGACAATCACTGTTTTAGATTCAACATAATCGAGATATATTTTTATAGTATTTAAGCACATAAAACATGAAACCCTGCACGATTAAGTGTTTAGTATTGCCGACTTTGAATAAATTTACTATAAGCGTTGCGTTCTCATATAATAAAAATGTTATTTAACTAGATAATTACATCAAAGTGTTCTTTCGTGTTTGAACAACAATTAACACGAGGGAGTTAGAAGCCCGGAATATAACCTTTGAAAGAATAAATGACCCTACACGATACATATTTAAGCATTTTTGCAGACACTTTGGTCCAAATTTTAATAACTTTAGTTAAAATTGTTATGTCATAATTTATTATTAGTCTAAAACATTACAGAGATAATACATACACTCACCTTTAACAGGAAGAGATACAGGAAAGTAGACTTGAACATAAACATCAGTGTCGGGATTGCGTTCGAACTTCATATACAATGTTTCAACTTGACTTCCTGGTAAACACAGATAAAACAATGGTAACTACTTAATGTTAACTTAACACTGTATTACACTTACTTATGTATTTAATTTATGCAAGTAGGTCTACATTTACACATATTTGTAAATGTCTGCTTTAATCCAAAATGTGATAAAATATAGTTAACAGCAATATTTTTATCAGTAAATGAACGATTTCCTTTCTTATAAGTATGAAATTTAGTCCTCATATACTGCACTAACGTGTCATTTTTTTAATCAAAGTGTGTATTATCATTCAATGCTGTATTAATGAACATTTTTAACACTTACATACAAGATTAAAATCATAAAAAATTCAAACCGTCTTTTGAAAAACTTAAATTTATCACAAACCATGTTAGAAATTTGACACTTTTAAATTTCACCGTCTGTTGTATTTGACTAGGACGATTTTGTAACGTCGAGTAAAAAGATGTTTAATTTATTGGCAAACAATGATATGATATATGCGTGAGAACGTTGTTTAAAGTACACCCAGAGTAAATAGACATTAAATTAAATTTATATTTATGCACAATGAAAAATAAATATGATGAATCACAAGCATATTGACGCTGGTTTAAAAGTCCATTAGGCGTGAAAATTTAACATTAGTTCTTCTTCTTATTGTTGTTGCTGCTGATGATGATGTTGATCTTGACTATAGTCACGATCATGATGAGCAAGATGATGCTACAGTTATTGCTGTGAGTTATACTAATGTTAGAGCTTTTTTCATTTTCTGTTGTCTTTTCATCGTCATTGGATTTTTTTAGTAAAAAACAAAATAACAAAATAAGAGTTTATCTTGGACGAGTGTATGTTAGCATTTGTATTGTAATATGATACACTCAAACCACCGCAGAATTTTGTCCGACTGTAAACCCATAAGTTCACAAAATATAGAAATAACATTATGTACTTTATAGGTTTAAACACTAGTTGGCTGCAGTATCGGGCATTGCGAGGTAATTTATTCACTGTAGTGAGAAAAAATTAAAAAAATTAAATAAGAATTACATTTTGTGATCAAAGTAATAATTTGGCCGAAACACGATTGAATTTCGCATTAGTTCATCAACTAAAGCGTCCAAAAGACATTGGCCATGTGGAGCTACAGCTCATTACCGAGCTTCCGAAGTTAAACAGCCCTATCTTATTGTACAAGGCACTAGAAAAACATTTACTTCCTATGATAGAGATTGAGTTCTGCCACCTTAAAATTGAAGCAAATTGACTATTATGGAAGGTCTTACATACAATAAATAATAACGGCGATAGTAATTAGTGTCTGACATAACAACAAACCAAGAAAGAATCGTGTATGGGTGCTTTTAGTAAGTCTTAGATAAGCGATCTGATATTATATATATTTATATAGCAGGTAAAAATGTCCAAAAACAAAATATTATTATTCAATTTCCAAATCACTTAGAAATTATCATTTTTTTTCTCAAGCAATATATTATACGAATATCCAAATAATACATTTATAACGTACATGTATTTATCTTTTTTTTTAATTTGTAAGAAACAGGTTCCCATACCATTAATGATATCATTATCGAAAGTAAAAGGTGATTGTAATCAAATAAGTTGAAATAACCTATACACATTGATTTTATGGAATTGCAGAAATTGATACTGGATTAAACACCGTAAAATATCTCAGCATTGTTATCGATCACCGGCAGCGTTATATAAAAGATTAATACGGAAATTTCAAATATTGTAGTTTTCTCGTTAGGCTATTTCATTTATTATACAGTAAAATCTTGATCTTGAACTTATTTAATCCATTCTCGAAGACAATTCCTGAAACTGTTCAGTACCTGCATTATATCAGAAAATATGATCCTGACCCCAGCCTACTGCAAAGCCCAGTTGGGTCTTAACCCAAGAGCCTTGCCGCTTAAACACTAAATCACCTTTCCCTTTTATGACGCTTTAAATATTAAGGGATATAGATGAAGAACAGGTGATAATGGTGACGATGGATCATCACTAGGTATTGAAACACAGGATGATACAGATACCTGACTTATGCAGTAGTATAGAGTCAAACAGTGTGCCCTTTGTTATATTATGTGCCACAGGTACCGGAAGTACCCGAATATGTCATCGATGAAGTTTAACTGAAAGATTATTTAAACCAAAATCAAGCACGCATTCTGTTACTCTATCAATGTTTTTATTTGGATTGTATGTCATACCGGCACTATTGATCAAGGTCATATGGCGACTATATAGCTTTACGGCGACGGAAGATCTCAGGTACTCATCCTTGTATTAATTCAGAGACGGGGTTTCACACATGAAAGAATCCAAATTAATAGTATCTTCTCAATATATTTTTATTCTATATATAAAGTCCTACCTTTTTAATGTTCCATCCACGAAATTATAATTTAAATGGTTATTATTTATTAAACAGCCATGTTATTGGCAGGTTCATGCTGTCATACCGAATAACATATTTTGTTTGTGAGAGATACAGAAGCAAATAATCGCCACACTTGTTTATGAAAATTTAAATAAAAAGATCGGGGTTTTTAATGACGATGACATTAGATTTAATAATATTCTTCATTTACAACCGCTCAACAATTTTAATGATAAATGATCCGGTATCTAAAATTTCTACAATAAAAATTATTTACCTTGAATAAGAGTGACGTTTATCAAGTTTTTAATAAGTCTTGCCTCTTTTTACGATTTGTATGACAAGTCTCTGATTACGAATAGGGCCTTTACAAAGCGACTTTACGAACAAGAAAACATTAAATGATTCAGTGTACTATTTAAATCACACATCGTGCAGGTTGAATACTATGACACTACTTGGGTAAAATGTAAATCATTTTCTAATTTCTATGGTATACCTTCAATGTGATTTGTGTAATTTTCAAATTAATCATCCGTTATTTATATGTACACTCAGTTTCTTATAATTTACGTACATTTAATTTCTAGGGGTCCCGTGAGCATGAAATAATACAAAAGAGATATATAACTTGTATTACGTTTTTGGTTTAGTTTTGACAAAAGACATATGAGCCGCGTCACGACAAAACCAACATAATGGGTTTGCGACCAGCATGGATCCAGACCAGCCTGCGCATCCGCGCAGTCTGATCAGGATCCATGCTGTTCGTTATCAGTTTTTCTACTTGTAATAGTGTTTGTAAGCGAACAGCATGGATCCTGGTCAGAATGCGCGGATGCGCAGGCTGGTCTGGATCCATGCTGGTCGCAAACGCATTACGTTGGTTTTGTCATGACGCGGCTCATATCAATTGTTACTTTTTTCTTATTTTAGTAGATAGAGTCTTGACGTTTTATGTTTCGTTCCTTATCTAGGCATCCTGATGACTACATTACCGGTTGTTCTGTGTTGCTGGATGATGTCGAGAATGTCGCATTCCCTGTTGATAACTCTAATGAGAAATAAAATATACAAGTGTGTTGTATGACTACAAGTTTAATACTGGAAATAAACTCTCAACTACTTTTTAAGTATGCGCATGTATACATTATAAAAACAGTCTCATATTACAAAGTTAAAAACCTTTGTAATATATCTGTAACTTTAAAATTGTAGTGTAAAATACACAAAGCATAATGTTGAGCTATTGAGAGACAAACAGTTGTATTGCAAAACAATCATTGTATCATAAGGAGGAACATAAATACCCTTTACACATGGATTTCATCATTGTTTTTACTGAAAGTTGGGTTTTATTGTATTTTTAAAACTGTTTACTAGTATCTTAAGATGGGAGATAAAGATAACAGGGTACGTAAACTCATACAATTGTACATTCAGTTTTGTTATATTGGATTGTATCGTAACTGGTGTTGCACTAACGAATAAACTAAATAAAATAATTGTCGTATGGTCCTTTTTCAAATGTAAGAAATGGTCTGTTTATGCCTGTAAGGACATAAAACATACGCCTTGATAAATAATTAAACAAGATAAACAATTTCTGGCGCAAACCAAGAGAAATATTTATACCAAAGTGCATAAATACAGATCCGAAATACATAAACGATCAATGGAAATATGCATGATAATGAAACATAATGAATACACAATTACCTGTAAGGACATAAACATACGCCTTGATAAATAAATAAATAAACAAGACAACAATTTCTGGCGCAAACCAAGAGAAATATTTATACCAAAGTGCGCATGCGTGAGGTGGATTTTCCGGGAAGTTTGTAAAAACTGAGGCCCGGCATGCAAATTATGTCAGAATGAAATATGAGAAATTAGTTGTTATAATGAGATGATGAAATGGAATGATATAGGAATGATATGGGATAATGGATTGTATATCGGACTGTAAACAGACAAATACAAGAGATATATATACAAATACAAGGACAAAATGATACATAAAAACGATATTCAAAAACACGAATATCGACCACATGACATACTTCCCCACTTTGGGGAATGTCGCCCCGACATTCATAAAATATTAAAGAGGAAGAGCTTGAATCAGACATTGCAAGTAGTAAGCTTAGACCATAAAGTAACTAAACTACTAGGTACTACATAACTAAATCTAAATACTGAAGGCAATTACAACCTGTGAGTAAATATATAATACCCGGGCAAAATACTTTAAACTCAAGCATGTTCCACAAAAATACCGTATGCCGCAAATCGCGAAAAATATATGTCACGCGGAAACAAAATTTTAATTTATCAGTAGAACTGTGAATTCATTGAAGAGGTGCACTCTCAACAATAAATCCTTTATTTTTAAAGTACTGTAAAGTACATTTATAAATTACCAAGGTAAAATATATGGTACATGGTATAAAACATAAAACGAAACACATCAGGTACTAAGCAACGCCTAACTTCAAAGTTGAAACACACCTAGACTATAAAGAAAAGAAAAGCATTAATCTAATTTCCAGTTATCATTTAGCATCCATCCGGGTTTCTTTCTAGTACGTTTCTGTCTCTGTAAATTGTTGTTGTTGTCCTTAGATGGATTTCTCAGTGCAGGAATAACATATTTAGAACCTGTAATAGAATGAGATGTTTTATTTGGAACAGAATAAGAAGTTTGAGTTGTTGACGTGACATCTTGTTTGCTGTTTGATGTTCCTGTAAAAGAAGTTGACATACAATTGTTAGAATCATGTATTGTGGCAGAATTGCTTTGTGAAATATTTGATGGACTATGTCACGGTTCGGGGCTGTTCGCTGTGTGGGGGAGAAGATGTGTGGGCGGCCGTGTGGCTCAGTCGGTGGAGCCGCGGTGCGGTATTCCGAGGGTCCCGGGTTCGAGTCCCGGTCAGGCTGCACATTTTTCTCACCCTGTGACATTTGGCGCCCAACGGGGGACCGTGACTGATATAGCTCAGAGTTTAATTTACATTGCTCTGAAACTCTGTGAAATTCGAGGACGAATTTCAATATAGCAGGGGAGTATGTCACGGTTCAGAACTGTTCACTATTTAGGCGAGAAGATGTGTAAGCGGCCGGATAGCTCAGTCGGTAGAGCCGCGGAACGGTATTCCGAAGGTCCCGGGTTCGAGTCCCGGTCAGGCTGCACATTTTTCTCACCCTGTTAACTGAACGCCAAATGTCACAGGGTGAGAAAAATGTGCAGCCTGACCAGGACTCGAACCCGGGACCCTCGGAATACCGTACCGCGGCTCTACCGACTGAGCTATCCGGCCGCTTACACATCTTCTCCCCTATATAGTGAACAGTTCTGAACCGTGACATTACTCCCCTGCGATATTGAAATTCGTCCTCGAATTTCACAGAGTTACAGAGCAATGTAAATTAAACTTTGAGCTATATCAGTCACGGGCCCCACGTTGGGCGCCAAATGTCACAGGGTGAGAAAAATGTGCAGCCTGACCGGGACTCGAACCCGGGACCCTCGGAATACCGCACCGCGGCTCCACCGACTGAGCCACACGGCCGCCCACACATCTTCTCCCCCACACAGCGAACAGCCCCGAACCGTGACATACTTCACCACAATATTGAAATTCGTCCTCGAATTTCACAAAGCTACAGAGCAATGCTTATTGTGGTGAAGTATGTCACGGTTCGGGGCTGTTCGCTGTGTGGGGGAGAAGATGTGTGGGCGGCCGTGTGGCTCAGTCGGTGGAGCCGCGGTGCGGTATTCCGAGGGTCCCGGGTTCGAGTCCCGGTCAGGCTGCACATTTTTCTCACCCTGTGACATTTGGCGCCCAACGGGGGACCGTGACTGAATACAGCTCAGAGTTTAATTCACATTGCTCTGTAACTCTGTGAAATTCGAGGACGAATTTCAATATAGCAGGGGAGTATGTCACGGTTCAGAACTGTTCACTATATAGGGGAGAAGATGTGTAAGCGGCCGGCTAGCTCAGTCGGTAGAGCCGCGGAACGGTGTTCCGAGGGTCCCGGGTTCGAGTCCCGGTCAGGCTGCACATTTTTCTCACCCTGTGACATTTGGCGCCCAACGTGGGGCCCGTGACTGATATAGCTCAAAGTTTAATTTACATTGCTCTGTAACTCTGTGAAATTCGAGGACGAATTTCAGTATAGTGGTGAGTATCCCCGCCTGTCACGCGGGAGACCGGGGTTCAATTCCCCGTCGGGGAACCAATAGGTTAACTGAACGCCAAATGTCACAGGGTGAGAAAAATGTGCAGCCTGACCGGGACTCGAACCCGGGACCCTCGGAATACCGTACCGCGGCTCTACCGACTGATATATCCGGCCGCTAACACATCTTCTCCCCTATATAGTGAACAGTTCTGAACCGAACATACTCCCCTGCTGTATTGAAATTCATCCTCAAATTTCGCAAAGTTACAGAGAAATGTGAATTTAACTCAGAGCTATATTAAGTCATGGTCCCCCGTTGGGCGCCAAATGTCACAGGGTGAGAAAAATGTGCAGTCTGACCGGAACTCGAACCTGGGACCCTCGGGATACCGTACCGCAGCTCTACCGACTGAGCCACACGGCCGCCCACACATCTTCTCCCCTATATAGTGAACAGTTCTGAAACGTGACATACTCCCCTGCTATATTGAAATTCGTCCTCGAATTTCACAGAGTTACAGAGCAATGTGAATTAAACTCTGAGCTGTATTCAGTCACGGTCCCCCGTTGGGCGCCAAATGTCACAGGGTGAGAAAAATGTGCAGCCTGACCGGGACTCGAACCCGGGACCCTCGGAATACCGCACCGCGGCTCCACCGACTGAGCCACACGGCCGCCCACACATCTTCTCCCCCACACTGGCCACCAATGTCGTATGGTCCTTTTTCAAATGTAAGAAATGGTCTGTTTATGCCTGTAAGGACATAAAACATACGCCTTGATAAATAATTAAACAAGATAAACAATTTCTGGCGCAAACCAAGAGAAATATTTATACCAAAGTGCATAAATACAGATCCGAAATACATAAACGATCAATGGAAATATGCATGATAATGAAACATAATGAATACACAATTACCTGTAAGGACATAAACATACGCCTTGATAAATAAATAAATAAACAAGACAACAATTTCTGGCGCAAACCAAGAGAAATATTTATACCAAAGTGCGCATGCGTGAGGTGGATTTTCCGGGAAGTTTGTAAAAACTGAGGCCCGGCATGCAAATTATGTCAGAATGAAATATGAGAAATTAGTTGTTATAATGAGATGATGAAATGGAATGATATAGGAATGATATGGGATAATGGAGTGTATATCGGACTGTAAACAGACAAATACAAAAGATATATATACAAATACAAGAACAAAATGATACATGAAAACGATATTCAAAAACACGAATATCGACCACATGACATAATGTTAAAAATAACTTATCAAATATAGCATACCATAGCAGATGTCAGAAAATGAGTGCGACGAAATCTTATTGTGACCTGTGCATTAGAGAAAACGTACGTCTTCGATATAAAGGAACTGTATTCTGTAGTGACTGTTTAGAAACGCTTTGCATGGTGTGTGAAAGACACCACAAGAAAAACAAAGCATCACTGGATCATAAGTTGATAAACTTAAAACAAACTACTCTAAAACAGAATGTTTTTAAACATGATGCAAACGAAATGAAGCAAAAGTTGAAAGCCATGGATCACACAGTGGAAATGTTATTACAGCATGAAGCAAATTTTCGAACCAAATTGGATGAAGAAAAAAAGGATGAAGCATATTGTATGGATAAAGTTAAAGGTCACATTGATTATTCCTTTGAAAAAGTTAAAACTGATGTTTTAACAGAAACGTCCACACGACGTAAACAGTTAACGACCGCGAGTACTAGTCAGACAGAATATTTGGAAAAACTGAAAGGTGAGATAACACGTTCGAATGACGTATTTGAAAATGCTTCCTTACAACATGAAATACCAAGGTCAGCCATGTACGGGGAGCTTGACAAGGAGCTTTTGGAGTATGAATCAAGGATCAACAAGCATAAGATAAAGGCAAGCTCTCTTTATTTCTGCGTGGTGGATAGCGCGTCATGTCTTGATATTTACCGACGGCTCGAAAAGTGTTTTCGTATTGAAAACGTAACAGATGAACTTGAATATCAAGTTGAAATGACGCAATTATATACACGCAAAACACCAAGAATAAACTTTGTCGGAGACAAAGTAGTTGATTGTGTGAAAATAATTAAATTGCCGGAGAGAAGAACAACTCCAAGATACTGCGTGTGGATAGACAAATACATCATTGTGTCCTTGCAAGAAGAACAGACACTGGAGATGTTTGATACCATAACTGGTGCTTTTATTTCGAGATACGTGTGGAAAAGTCAACCATGGGCAATCACTAGGGTAGACAATGCAAATTTTGCCGTTGCGTTCCCCAATGAAAAGACAATAACTCTGATGACAGTTCTAAACAAGTATATGAAAATTAAAAATGGCAGTACGCCAGTTCAAACATCTTTTGAGGTAAGTGCAGTCGCCTATAACTCTGAGGGCCAGATAATTTATGCTGCATCTATGACTGATGGAAGTCATATCGAGAAGTATGATGTTCAGGGCAAAGTACATGGCGCAGTTTTTCTTGAAAACAGCTCTGGTGGAATTTACAACATAACATACGATAGCAAGTTGAAATACCTGTTCGCATCTTGTCACGAGCCTGATAAGGTAGTTTGTTTGGATATTAACGGAACAAACATATTTGAATACAGTGAAGAAACATTAAAGAAACCTTGGTCAGTTGTCTTAGACGATACAGATAATGTTTATATTACATCTTACAAAGGGCAATGCATCCATCAGTTGAACAAAAAAGGCATCTTGAAAAACAAAGTAGTATCATCAAATGGAAAAGCGTTCATTCAGCCACTTGGTATGTGTTTTAACCAATACAAAAACAGATTTGTTCTTTTATTTGCAGAATCAGCGACCATGCAAATATTCAAACTCTGAATTCACCAGAAAAGTCGATTCAATACTATTGAATAATACTATAGGTCATGGATTATGTAAATCATGATATACTTTTCTTTGTATTTTCACACAAATTTTGCACATTCGTTGTTAAAAGAAACAGACGAGGGTCCCATGATAACATGTTGTGTTTTACGTGTGAGAAAAACGACAAAGCAGAAGCCCCTTGAGTGGACATTGTTTTTGAATGTGAACATGCTAACAATGATTAAATGTAGTTTTCTTGTAATTAGTTAAGCTATCGTGAATTTTTTATTTACGTAACATTTCTCTTACTTACTAATATTTTCCTTAAGATTGTTATGTTTCAAGTGTAATATTTTACTGTATTATAAAACATTACTTTTAAGGTTGTCACATAATATTTGTTTGTAGATTAGATAGAACATGACAGAATATATTTCATACAAAAATATAGACGTGCGTGTGCGGATAATCTCTGTCGGAAACATAGTACAGATAGTTGTCTGTGAGAAAAGAATTCAGTTGCCATCTCCTAGATAAACAAATGCCTTATAGGGTCCTTGAAAGAAAAAATGGACAATGGATATGTTAGATGTCATAACTGATGCTTTTGTTCCGAGGTTCGTGTGTTTAAGTCAGACATGGGAAATCACAAGGGTAGACAATGTCAAGTTTGCTGTTACATTCCCATATGAAAAGAAAATAATGGCCAGGCATTCACAGCAGTTTATACGGAAGAAAATGGAAGATATTTAATACAAACGAGGACACAAAAATACAGCTTTTATATAATATAATATATAATATGCACTTGTGCAAAACAGTATAATGTCAGCGTATAATAGTCAAACACATTTGCGGTCAACAGTGATCATAATTACTTTGTGTGTGTTTATTACTTATAATTATACCTACTTTTTAAAATGCCCCAATTATGTTGTATATAATTTCAATGAATCAATTGTGTTGCAAGCTTAAAACAATCAATGTGTGTATTTAGTATTTTTGTCGCGGAGCATCATCGTACATGCTCCGCGACAAAAATACTAAATACACACATTGATTGTTTTAAGCTTGCAACACAATTGATTCAATTTAATGGTTCTCCGCGATTAGCTAAATTTATGTTTAATGTATATTTTGTTACACAGACCTGTCTATGATATCGGATACCATTATATATCAAATTTTCATAATCCACGTACATGTTGTATAAGAGAAATAAACTTAATTGACTAAAATCTGTGTATAATTATGATAATGCATATGCATCTTTCGAAAACTATTTTGATAGTGTTCTTCATATTGAGCAAACTGTAAAGAATGTGACAGATGTCCTACTTTAACCCATTTAAATGTGGAAATTAACTTTAATGATTTTGTCTCATGTTCGACTCCACAAATCTTTAATCTTAATACTAAACACGACAATATGAACAGTAAAGATGTGAATTAGGACAGTTCTAGAAATGTGTCAAGAAAAATATGAGGTCAGACCTGCGTGTGCAGAATAGTTAGATTAACGAAGACAACTCATTAAATTCGAAAATTAAATTTATCGCAACTGTTGTTAGTGTCTTAAGCACTATCGGGTGTTATGGCTCATAACCGAATTGTCTGTGTTAAACTGTTTGATTGTATTGTTTGATAAAAGAACTGTGCAGTAACACATCTACTTCATGTGTCAGCTTGCAGTAAATGATACAGTGATGCAAGATGCTTGTAATCACAATAACATATACGCATTAATATGGTGATTTCGTTTCTACACTGTGAAAATATCTCAGCATTGTTCTGTTTGCATATTCGATCACCACTAGTGTCAAGACCATTGCAAATGCCTCAAAGATTGATTGTTTTGAAATATGTTCTTAACATCAGCCCACTGAGGTCTTAACCTATAATCACTTGCTTAAACTACATGTACTAGGTCGCCTATCCCTTTAAATGACCAATTGGATATTAAGGGATATAGATAAAGGACGGGTTATACGGGTGACAGTAGAATATGACTAGATAATTGAAGACAGACAGTGAGAGTTTACATACGGAATATTATGTTGCTGTAGCTTTCTGAGGTTTTGTATTTTGAATATCTTTTTCTGGAAGATTTATATCTCGTGCAAAAGAATTTCCTTACACTGCGAATAGCAAATTGCATGGCCTCAGAAAGCTTCTACTATTATACCTGTGAATTCTAAGACAAAAAGAATTTCAATTTACATGTACTGAACTTGGATTATTTATTTGAGAAACAGAAATATAGCTGTCAAAAATAAAACCGATGAATGACCACCGTTATGAATCTGAATCTATTTACTACTCCACTTGGGAGTTTATTTATTGTAGATTTTCATATGCATTGAATCTTCTTATTAGATATAAACTTAAAAAAACTTCAGTCCGTAAAAAAATGTACAATTTATTAGTATATAAAACCCTGTAAACGACCTTCCTGGTTTTCTGCCCGATCACACTCATTAATGGCACATCCGCTACTGAGACCAAATATGCAAGAGGTCCCTTCATAATGGTCTCATTAGCACGTTTTCACTGTATCACGGTGTCAAGGGTATACGCATCATTTTTCCGCGTACCGTCGATAATTTATCATCCTGCGCGCAGCACCGTATCATTTTAGACAAAACAAACACTTAAACACAACATGCATGATGGAAAACGACCTGAAAGTCACACTTTTGAGGTAAGTGTATTCATAAAAGTGTGTCTACGGAATATTATGATCATTGAAGCTTATTTCTTTACCTAGTTTTTATCAAAGACTTGTACGATTTCTTTGTTTTAATGAAAACAGCTAGAGCTGGCTTGGGGAAAATGATCATTTGCAAAAATTTTAAAAGGAGAAAATTATGTTGTCAATCAAAATATTTATTTGATATAACTGTAAGCATCAAAGATATGTATACAAAAAGTATTGCACACAAATTTAAGCTGTTTAATTTCTTTAAAAAGTCATAAAAGCGTGACAACTGACCGAGTTCTTGGTACCGTATCATGGGTCCGCACCGAAAATTGTGGCACCGTATACATTTGCGCTAGACTTGCCCGCATCATGATGATTAACCTAATGGTGAATAATCTTATTTGTATTTCTTTATTGTTGCCCATCTGGCCGAAGCATGTAGATGTATATTAATTATTTACAAACCGGATGAAAATGCATGAATACTAGTCAGTTCTAGAAGCAAACCTGGTTCTTTGTGTGTCCGGCGTAAACACATGGGATCGAAAGAATCTGAGCCTTTACTTTATTATTAAGATCGGTTCGATTAGGACAACCTGAGTGCAAATTGCTGACTTTATTATGCATGTAAAGAAGCAAGTTTATAATGAAAATGTTATGTATATCTAACACAAATATGCATATATCATTGTTACCATTTTATACATACTCTTTGAGATAGTGCTTACAGAGAGAGTTTCGAAAGAAAAAAATCAAGCTTCCTACTCAATCCGTGCAATATAATATTTGTCAATTACAGACTGGTCAATTATCATGTAAATGAAATGTTTATAAATAAAATATTGTTATAACTAAAGAATTTGAGTAAATACATTGGAAGAGTAAAGAATCGAAGCCGAGACTTCTAGACTGAAACGGCGGACTTGGAATTCTGGCATCGCTTGTCGAGGCGCCATGTTTCCTTGAGCAAGAATCTTAAATTGTTGTGGTTAAAGTTATCTATAAGTTTTATAATAGTCTATCAATAACTGGAACTACAAGGAGAAATACAAGCATGCCGACACAAATATGTAATGGATACAGTACGAGTTTTCCTTCAAAAGTGTCTTCTTACAGACATAAGAAGACAATTTTGAAGAAAATACGAGTAACTGTATCTGACTTATACGACGTTTAATTGTAAAGAACCGATAAATTAATAAACACATTTAATTATAAATAGATCTATGTATGTTCACGTTGAAAATATAAAACTATAGAAAATATTTGCAAGGCCTTTAAGCTTTGGGCAGTGGAGGGTGTAGGTAAATTGTATTCGCACGGAACTTTCGTGCACTTAGTCAATCGGACATAATTCACTTTCATTTATGATAAACAATGTTGAAATGGCTGTCATCAATTGACAGAATGTCAAATTTACTAAAATCGATTATGTCAGTCAACATTGAAATCGTCTCTAACTTGTAATGCGTCAATGTTATATGGATTACGTTTTGGACCCCAAATTTAGTAAGTTTCCTTATTCACATGCTTACCTTAACGCAATGTTCAGCCGTTTATGGCAGTTGATTTTTTTTGTATGTGGGCCGGTGGGTACAGTAAATGTCAACTATTCAACTATTCGACAAATTCAATGTTGAATGGCGCGAAAAGTATTTTGTGAGAATGTAAAATCTTGCTACTTTATCTATAAAAATATAGAAAGGCGGACAAAACTTTAAGAAAAAATGGAACATGTCAAAAGCAGTCCTTTAATTGTCCCAAGAAGGACACCGTATATTTCAACTGCACTAAAAGGAAAGTTTGTTTGTTTGTTTGTTTCATTTTACGCCTTTTACCAACAGTATTTCAGTCTTATAGGCGGGTAGCTTCCTAACTATCGTTCCTGGAGAGTTACACCAGTACTAGACTACCTTCATCAGCGCTTAACTACCAAACCATCTCCCGGGGATCGAACCCACGCCAGAGAGGTAACTGGATTAGAAGTCATCGACTCTAACCCCTCGACCACGGAGGCGGTTACGTGGAAAGTAACGGTTATTTAAAAAGTGTCTTCTTACTATTGTGGCTGATTTTGAACACTTTTGTGCGTCGCGATGTCATATTGTCGCTCGATTCAAATCGAAGGATTTCAAATCGGCGCGCTGTCGTCTTGTGGTCCTGTCTCCAGCGCGACACGCCAAACTGTGCGTTGTCGTGCGGCGCGATGTCGCCCTGTCGCTGGCTTATAAGCCAATCCTTCAATTTGAACCGAGCGACAATGTGACATCGCAACAACATGCCGCACGACAACGCGCCGTTTGGCGTGCCG